TGGAATTCCAATGACATGTAGGTTATTCCTTTTGATGGTATCTCACATGAACCTTAGGCTTTCTTCATTTTGTTTTGATCTTTTCTTATGATTGATCCCTTTCCAAGGAAGTATTCAAGTATTTGTCTTCAATCGCATTAATTCTGTCTTCCATTGATTCAATTCTACTCATTCACCCTTTCAATGTATTATCTATTTCTGAAAATTTAGTATTAATCTTCTGGATTTCTATCTGTAGATTTAGAATCATTTCTAATTTTTCTCTTTTTTTGTCATATTGTTCTTGTATTTTCTTCTGAAATTGTTCTAGGGTTTTGTCTGTGTTTTCCTTGATTTTGTCAGTGTTTTCCTTGATCTGTCTCTCAGTCCTTTGAAGATACCTAAATATAATTCTTTTGAATTCCTTATCAGGGAGTTCCAATCCTGCTTCTTCCTCAGGGATGTGTTCTGGGTCTGTATCCTGCTCCCTTGTTTCTACCACATTATCTTGCTTCTTTGTGTGGACTGTGATGATCTGTTGTCTCCAAGACATTGTGACATTGTTGTATTAAGATCTCTGTTAACTGTTTGTGAAGAGCAGCTAACAGTGTGTCAGGCTCTTCTTGGTGGTTGTTTATCATTGGCCCATTAGTGGAGAAGGAAGTGGTGGCTCTCAATCAGTAAGTGAAGCTGCAGGAGTTGCAAGTGTAGTTGTGTCATATGGGCACTGTTGCTGTCTCCCACTCAGTTAACCAAAAACAATAGTCAAATAACCATCAAAAAAGTGAAAGCAAGTGGACAAAAAAAAAAAAAAACCACATCATGTAAACACACAGAAACAATAACCAAAAACAGGAAAAAAAAAAACCTGTAATACCTAGGGAGAGGGCAATAAGAGAAAAAAGATAGAGTAAGAGTATAATAGGAGTTCTAGTAGTGTGGTGCCTAAGGCATTTGACTGCTAACCAGAAGGCTGGTGATTCAAACCCACCAGCCACTCCTCGGAAGGAAGGTTGGGCAATCTACTTCTGTAGGGATACCACTCTGGAAACCCAAGGAGAGGTCACCATGAGTCAGATATGACTTGACAGCAGTGGGTTAGGAGAATAATGAAGAAAAAATGTGAAAAGTGGAAAAAGAAAAACAAGGAATGGGGTTAGCCATGAGAAAGAAAAAAATGGGAACCACAAACAGGGAAGAGAGAAAAATCTGAAAACTAGGCCCTCGGATGGGAAGAATAAATAATAAAACTAATAATAATAATAATTTTTAAACAGACAAAAATAAACAAACTAACAAAAAAGAAAAAAAAAAATCTGGGCAGGATGGGGCAGGACACCTAGGCTGTCTGAACACACACTGGGATGAAATTCCTGCTGACCCAGAAGGTGGGTGGAAGTAAGGGATGGCCACACCTCCACTCACCAAGAGGGTGTGGGATATAAGAGTAACAAGGGGAATATCACACCTTTCCAGTCATTGGAGTCCAGAATGTCCTGGTGGTTCTCAGCAACTGGAGCCTATTCTTAAGTCCCTGGAATCTGGGAGAATGCTGTCATTTTAAATATGCAAAATGGTTGAACTGCTTGTAAACATTCAAAATGGCTGTACCCTCTGAACAGACAAAAGTTCACAGCTCAGCCTGCCTTCCTCTTTGCTGCTTCCCCTTTTATTCCCCAGCCACGAGTACAGTCCTCCATGCAGCCTCTGGATAGCAGGGCTAATTTTTAAGTTACGTCTTATGTTCTAGCACCACTCAGCGACATCCAAGCTGTCTGTGCTGTCAGGATTGTTGACAGACCACAGCTCTGTATGTCTCCTTTTTTGGTGTTTTCATACAAGTTCTACTAGTTGGAGTTGAGTCCACTTCTTCATCCTTCCTTTCAAAGCTCAGGGCTCCAGGATTATCTTCTGTATCTGTATTAACTGGTTCCCCTTTTATTTGTTGAAGAGGGTCTGTGCAGTCTGTCTGCCTATTCCACCATCTTACCAGAACTCCTCCTTCCTATCTCTTGTCTCTTGCTCACTATATGGACTTCTAGGTTGTATTACCTGGTCCCTCTGGGCAGACACTGGGGAAACCAGGCACATACCCTTTTGTGTGGCACTTCATCTAAACCCAGAAGTGGTGGAAAGAGCTATAACCTCCATGAATCCGGTCATATCAGGCTTGGAGGCTGGAGCTGCCATGACCTCCTCTACAGTATAATGGAGGATGTACAGAAGCCCATCTCTTACCACTGGAGAGGCTAAAACAGTCAGTGGTCTCAGTAAATGAGGTAACAATCAGTACTCTCTCCATTGAGAAAGCAGCTGATGGCCCAAAAGGCAGATGTAGCCAAGTAACTCTGGGGGTACTCTTGAGGGTATAAGTGGGAAGCTATTGTAACAATCTAATCAGAGTTGTTGCCCCAGGGTAGAAATGCAAGAGGTGATGAAAACTGGCAAAATTCTGGACATACCTGATGGTATTTGCTAATGACTAACATAGAGTTTTGGGGAGCTCTGGTAGCATAGTGGCTAAGGCACTTGACTGCTAACCAGAAGGCTGGCGGTTCAAACCCACCAGCCACTCCTCGGAAGGAAGGTTGGGCAATCCTACTTCCGTAGTGATACTGCCTCGGAAACCCAAGGAGGGGTCGCTATGAGTCGGGGCCGACTCGACGGCACATAACAACAACAACAACCCATTGAGATGTTTAAACAAATGGGTCTAACATAGAGTTTTGAGGAGCTCTGGTAGCATAGTGGCTAAAGCACTTGACTGCTAACCAGAAGGCTGGCGGTTCAAACCCACCAGCCACTCCTCGGAAGGAAGATTGGGCAATCCTACTTCCGTAGTGATACTGCCTCGGAAACCAAAGGAGGGGTCGCTATGAGTCGGGGCCGACTTGACAGCACACAACAACAACAACATTAGACATACAAGTGGAGCTATTTTGCAGGGGCTAGATCAAGGCTGGACATATATATCTATGTTTAAAGTCATGAGACTGAATGAGATCACCTAGGGAGTGAGTATGGATAGACAACAGATCCATGGGCCGAGCCTGGGCAGTCCAGCTTTAAGAAGTTGGAAAGATCAGAGGGAATCTCAAGACTAGGAAGCAGCAGTCACTGTGCTTCTTAGTCAGCAGGGCAAAGAGCCCTGGAAGCCAAGTGGGGAATTTTTTTTTTTTTTTTTTAAAGGAAATGAGACTTATCAACTGTGTCACATTTTAAGTATTCTTAGAAAGGTCAAATAAGATAAGGAAGAAAATTGATCATTGTATTTAGTGACATGCAGGTAATAAGTGACCTTGACAAGAGCAGTTTTGGTAGAGTGGTAGGGACAAATGCCTGATAAAAATGAGTTCAAGGTAGAATGGAAGAGGAGAAACTGTGACAGACCATAGACGACATTTTTGAGTTATAATGTAAAGAGGCTAGACAAATGGGGCTATAGCTGGAGAGAGAAGTAGAATCAAGGGAGTTTTTGGTTTTGGTTTTAATTTAGTAGAAAAATAAGGTGTACATCCAGGAACACTTCTAATATATCCAGTGTATCCATTTGTTAGGAGTTTTGGTAGCATAGTGCCTAAGGCATTTGACTGCTAACCAGAAGGCTAGCAGTTTAAACCCACCAGCCACTCCTTGGAAGGAAGGTTGGGCAATCTACTTCCATAGTGATACTGCCTCGGAAATCCAAGGAGGGGTCACTATGAGTCGAATCCAACTTAACGGCAGTGAGTTAGTTTTAGTTAGTTAGTTACTCCATTTGTTTATTCAATTAAAATAAACAGATGTTGCTTCATCTTCTGATCATAACTATTGAAAACACATGAAACTACTGAAAAAGACTTCTGTTGAAATAAATACTTTGCTTTCCAATTAGTTGGAATTTCAATAACGAAACTTGGTAATTACATCTTGCATGTTTGGAAGTCAGGTATTCAACAATCTTAACTTCCCTGGAATAAAGCTAAGAAGCATAAAAGAAGGGGAAAAGTAATCTCATAAACCTATAGTTATACATAAAATCATTTTCTGGAGTACAAATATTATGCAAATGGTTGATGTACATGGCTGCTAACTGGAAGGTTGCATTCAAAAGTGCCTGGTGATCTACTTCCGAAAAATCAGCCACTGAAAACCCTATGGAACACTGTTCTGCTTTGACACACATGGGGGTCACCAAAAGTCAAGGTCTACTTGATGGCATCTGGTTGTTTACACACTGGGTTAACTATTCCAGTCTTTCATTAGTTTATCCCTAATTCTAGTAAACTGCACCAACCTCTTCCCAATACCAAGTCAAATTAGAACGGGGAAGGAGCTGCTCCAAATAGATATTCCCAAAGGGAATACATGAGGGTTTTTTTGTTTTGTTTTGTTTTCAATGAGAATAAAATTTTGTAAAAACAAATGAGTATCTCAAAAAGCACAGCTTTTCGGAGCCTTGTGGAACATATACAGGAGTATGAAGTTTTACAAAGTAGTATGTGGCAGTATACTTTATTCATTTTGATTTTGAGAAGTACAGCCCTGAGACAAGAAAAAGATTAAATTACTGATTTGTTGTTGTTGTTATGTACCGTCGATAGGCAACTAATAAATATATATTTTAGAAAATTTCTTAAGGATGAAGATTTTTGATGTCAAGGATCATATCTATCTTGTCTTAAAATAGTACTTGACATATAGTAGGTGCTCAAAAAATATTTGTTGAATTAATGGATGATTTTCTCTTTAATGTAGTTAGAATACTTTTGTTTATTTTAGGAGAATATTCAGAAATCTTATCAATATGAGAAGTCCAGGATACTGGAGTTTCTTTTGGACTTTTGTAATAAACATTGATTTATGGGTCATTTCATTTAGCTCCATCTCAGCAGAATCTTAATACATTTATTTTGTAGGTAATAATCTCCCTAAAAAAAAAGGTATTATTTAACTGGCAACACCTTCATTGTACTCCATAATTGTAGAATCACCTCATGTTAAAATATTAATGGAACTTAGAGTTCTTGTTTTCTTTCTAGAAATTTTTTGTTCAAATCCTCCGGCTATCGTCAATGGGACACACACCGGAAATCCTCTGGGAAACATTGCCTATGGAGAAGAAATAACTTACACATGTGACCTCAACCCAGACAGAGGGATGACCTTCATCCTCATTGGGGAGCGCACTATCCACTGCACAAGTGACAGTCGAGGGAACGGAATTTGGAGTGGCTCTGCCCCTCGCTGTGAACTTTCTGTTCCTGCTGGTTAGTACCCACTTCCACATATCCTAAATGGGCTCAGAATATCTAGACCAAACTATTGCTCATATTACTATATTAAGAATGTGGTATTTGCTTATGTGCTTAACTTTGTGATAAGTGGAAATGGCAAAATTATATGCCATGACTAAAACAGATGGGTTCAAACTGTGTTTAAACTGGTAAAATGCTAATAACTCTTCTTATTTTTGGAGTAATGAGAATAGTAGAGCAAGAGGAGTGAGGGGAGGAGTGGAGGGAAAAGGTTAAGGTGCAAATTATATAAATCAGGAAGAAAAATATATTCAGTGAGAAGACGTGGAAACAACTGCCTATGAACATTAAGGCCCCTGGGTGATGCATATGTTTTGTATTTGGCTGCTAACCAGAGGGTCGTCCATTCGAACCCACCCAGTGGTGCCATGGAAGATAGGCCTGGTGATCTGCTTGCATAAAGATTACAGCCAAGAAGACTCTGTAACATATGGGGTTGCCAAGAGTCAGAATTGATTTGAAGGCAATAGGTTTGGTTTGGTTTATGAACATAACAAGTAACAATGTAATTGATTGACAGTCTCCACAAATTCCTGAGAGTACATGGGTATGCTAAGGACAAAAATGGCAAGGTGCATTTTATTTAGCTAAAGCTTTAGCTAGCTTTCTGCTGAATGGGCTAAGTAACCATACTGACTCTCTTTGTCTTTGTAGTTTAAGACACAGATTAAAAGTACACCCATTTGTCAGCTAGCCTGTGGGCTTCACCGTTGTCTTTGCCCTTGAGCTCTTCTACTCTGGGGATGATGAGAAGCAAGGAAAGATAAGCCCAAGGAAAGAGAAGCAGAAGGGAAGAGGCTGTTTCTTCCTAAGGACTAGAGAAGGTTATTCAGTCTTTTAGGCCCAACTTTCCAAGAATGGCAGCTGGAAAAGATTGGAGAGGTCGCACCAGGCATGTCAACTGTAGGGGATCCCCGAGAGAGAAAAACAATCCAACGAGTGAAGGCTAACACAGTGAAAGGCATTTAATTTCTCTGTAATCTCCTTCACCCTCTTACTAGTTGGTACATGTCAGAATCCAAAGAGATTTTCTAAATGCAGACACGTTGGCACAATGAATGGACAGACAGAAGCAGTTTCTCCAGAGAGGAGGCAGTTAAGTTCAGAATCCATTTCAAAATATCAGCACCCAATATACCCACTCATAAAGAGGACATAACTTCTTAAAAGAGGTTGAAAACTTAGTCTGTTTTGTCTTTGCCCTTCAATGTCTGGTTAGCATCAGATTCTTATAAATCTCCAGGTGATTCTTATATATACATCACATGGGGATCTTGTTAAAATGTAGATTCTGACTCAGTATATCTGGGATAGAAATGCAAATTCTCAGCAGGAGGTGGAATTGGAATGAACTGGTTCAAAGCCGTGGCTTCCTAGAGTTGCCATAACAAATTTCCACTAACTTGGTGGCTTAAAAAACAAAGATTTATTCTTTCACAGTTTTGGAGGCTGTAAGTTTGAAATCAAGGTGTTGGTAGGACCATGCTTCCTCTGAAGACTCTTTGCGATAACTCATTCCTTGCCTCTTCCAGCTTCAGGTGGCTCCTAACATTCCTTGGTGTCCCTTGGTTTATAGATATATCACTCCAATCTCTGCCACCAGCTATATATGTTCTTTGCCCCAGTGTCTCTGTGTCTCAAATATCCTTCTCCTTTCTCTTATAAGGATACCAGTCATTGGATATATGGCCCACCCTAAATCCAGGATGATCTCATCTCAAAACCCTTCATTACATCTGCAAAAACTTTTATTCCAAATAAGATCACATTCTGAGATTTTCAGTGGACATATCCTTTGGGAGGATGCCACTTAATCCACTACACGTGATGACTGCTAGTCAGTGCCAGAGAGGCAGCTTATGGTGGATACCTCTGACAACAAAGTAGGAAGGAGTAGATGGGGAAAGATGGTAAAATGCATGAGGGCATTAACTACTGCCATTGAGTTGATTCCAATACATACTGACCCCCATTGTGTTCCCAAGGCTGTAAATCTTTATGGAAGGAGTACTGTTGACTTCCAGTAAGATGGCAAAATAGACAGACAAGCTACACAGACCCTATTCAACAAAGAAAAAAGAACCAATTGGCACAGATACAGAAAATAATCCTAGAGCCCTGAGTTTTGAACGGAGGGATACAGAAGTGGATTAAACACCATCTAGTAGAAGAACCTGAATGAAAACAAAGTATAAGGAGACAAATGGAGCTACAGACTGTCAACTATCCTGACGCCATGGACATTTTGGATATTTACAAGTGGTGTTAGGACCTGAGTAGTAAGTAAAAATTGGCCCTGCTTGCCAAGAGCTGCATGGACAACTGCACTGGTGGCTGATGACTAAAACGGGAAACAACAAAGAAGGAGACAAACTGAGCTATGGTCTTTTGACTGCAGGGGGCACAGCCATTTTGGATATTTATAAGTGGTGTGACCATTTTAGATACTTAAAGCAGCAGCATTCAGATCCCAGTGAACTAAGGATGGGCTCTAGGCAGAGGACAGCAAGGGGCAACCACACTAGAGGCTGATGACTGGAAAGGTGCGATATTTCCCTTGTTACTCTTATACCCTATACCCTCTTGGTAAATGGAGATGTGGCCATCCCCTACCTCCACCCACCTCTGGACTGGCAGGAATTCCATCCCAGTCTGTGGGCTCTGACAGAGCCTGGGTGCTCTACCTTGTGCCCCACCCCACCCCCAATTTTTTCTTTTCTGTTTTGTTTTGTTTTGTTTTGTTGGTTTGTTTGTTTTAAAATTATTCTTTTTTTCTTTCATTTTATTCTTCCTTTTGCCCTTCCCAGGTCCTAGTTTTTAGATTCTTTTCCATTCCTTTTTCCTGCTTCCCATCCTTTTTCTTTCTTTTGGTTTTTCCCATCCCTTGTTTTTCTTTTTGCATTTTTCTCATGTTTTTCTTTATTATTCTTTTATTCTAATTTTTTTCTCTTATTTTCCACTCAACAGATATTGTGTGTGTGTGTGGGAGGGGTTTTCTGTCTCTTTTTCTATTTATATTTCTTTTATCTTTTAAAAATATTTCTTTAAATGTTTCTTCTCATTTAGTACCATTCTTTTTTCTTTTTTCTTTTTTGAAGCAACTGTTGCTGTGTGTTTATGCAGTGTGTGTGTTTTGTCCTCTTTTTTTTTTCACTTTTTTGGTGGTTTTTTTTTTTATTGTTGTTTTGGTCTAACTGAGTGGAAGACAGCAACCATGCCCATATGACCCAACCACACCTGCACATCCTGCAGCCCCACCTACTGAGTGAGGGCCACCACTTGCTTCTGCGCCAGCTGGCCAATGATAGACAACAGCCAATATGAGCCCAACTCACCCTTAACTCCTCTTCACAAAAAGCTAATAGAAATCTGTGCACCTACTTTCATTCTCTATCACACCCACCAGGAGACAGGTGGTGAGTGCATAAGTGCAGCCAACTAGTGAATAGTGGAGGAGCACAGTACCCTGCTTACTCAGATATATCAAAAATGGATCAAAAAACAAAAATGGATCAAAGAATTAAATGTGAAGCCTAAAATTAAAGTTACTCGAAGAAAACCTGGGGCAAAATCAGGGGCCCTGAATTATGGCATAGACTATCAAGTATAACCCAAAATGCACAAACAGCAGAAGATAAAATAGATGATTGGGACCTTCTAAAAATTAAAGTTTATGTGCTTCAAAAGGCTTCTCCAAAAGAGTAAAAAGAGAACCAACAGTTCTGGGGAAAATATTTGGCAATAACATATCTGACAAGGGACTTATCTCTAAAATTTACAGAAAACCCCATCACCACAGCAACGAAAAGACAAACAATCCAATTTAGAAATGGGCAGAGGACATGAATAGACACTTCACCAAAGAAGATATTCAGGCAGCCAACAAACACATGAAGAAATGTTCATTATCATCAGCCATTAGAGAGATGCAAATCAAAACAACAATGAGACACCATCTCACCCCAGCACTAATAGCAAAGCTCAACAACACAGAAAATAACAAATGCTGGCAAGGATGTGGAGAGATTGGGACACTCATACACTGCTGGTGGCACTGTAAAATTAGACAACCACTGTGGAAAGCAGTATGGCAATTCCTTAAAAATTGGAATTAGAAATACCATTTGACCCAGCAATCTCATTACTAGGTATATATCCTAGAGAAGTGAGAGCCGGGATAAGAATAGACATATGCACACCCATCTTCATCACAGCGCTATTCACAATAGCAAAGAGATGGGAATGACCAAAGTGCCCATCAACAGAAGAATGGATAACCCAACTGTGGTACATACACACAATGGAATACTGTGCAACCCTAAAGAAAATGTAGAATCTGCGAAACACTGCATAACATGGATGAATGTGGAGGGCATTATACTCAACGAAATAAGGCAATCACAAAGGACAAATACTGTATTACTTCACTATTGTAAAAAGTCAAGTAAAGGTTTATATATGGAAGGAAATTTTCTTTGTTGGTTACCAGGGATGAAAGGGTAGAGGAAGGAATACTGCTAGACAAGTAGAGACAAGTATTGCTTTGGGTGAAGGGAAGTCCAATGTACCAGAAGTGAGTGATCAACATGATGGCATTGAGGTAGAGGAAGATATAGAGAGGTACATGAGAGATGCGGACAACAAAGATGAATCCTTCTGCATGTACAGTACTGTGTTGTCAGTGATGGCAAACATTAATATGTGAATGGATAGATGGGTACACAGGCTGAATGATCAGGTATGTCTAGGCAGAGGGGAGTGTGCCCATGACCATGTATAGGGTTAGCAGATGATGTTTGTACACGTGTATTTGAATGTGCTATAAGAATGTCCGCGTGTATAGTAGAAGTGAGAAGGGGCAAGGTTGTGGTGGCTTCTTGGCCACAGCCAGCTACCCTGAGGGAGTGAGTAGTTGGACCTGTGGCCTCCGAACCATGGTCACAGGGGACATCAAGCTCAACTGGCATAACATACTACACAAAAACATTGTTCTACATCCTAATTTGGTGAGTAGTAACTGGGATCTTAAAAACTTGCAAGTGGCTATCTAGTTGCAAGGATGGATCTCTCCTCATCCAGAGGAAAAAAAAAAAAATGAAGAAAACCAAAGATACATGAAAACAATTAGTCCAGGGGACTAATAGACCATGAGATCCTCAACCTATATGACCATGAGACCAGAAGAACTAGATGGTGCCTGGCTACCACTGTCAACCACTTGGTGGGTGATTGTGCAGGAGATCATGGATAGAGTGGGAGGACAATATGGAGCAATACTCAAAATCATAAATTAAAAAAAAAAATCAGGTTTGCTGGTCTGATAGTGCCTGGTGAGACCCCTGAGGTTATAGGCCCTAGCTGCCCTTCAGGTCTGGAACTGAACTCACTCCTGTGGCTTCCAGCCAAACAATAGACAGGCATATGGGGTGAACATTTACATCAAGTAGATATACTCCTTGTAGAGATCAATCATGGGAGAATGGAAGGGCATTGTATGCACAATGAGACAGCTGGGAGGTGGCGGAGTGCATGGGAGGGAAAGACACAGGGAAGAGGTAACTGTGGGGAGGAAGTGGGAAGAGAGCTGTTACATTGTGAGGAATTAGAGTCTATGTCATGAAACAAAATGTGTATGAACTGCTGTATGGAAAGTTAATTTGCTCCACAAACGTTCACCCAAATCACAATGTTGTTGTTGTTGTTATGTCAAGTCGGATCCAACTCATAGCGACCCCTCCTTGGGTTTCCGAGGCAGTATGATTACAGAAGTAGATTGCCCCATCTTCCTTCCGAGGAGTGGCTGGTAGGTTTGAACCACCAGCCTTCTGGTTAGCAATCAAGTGCCTTAGGCACTACACTACCAGAACTCCCAAATCACAATAAAAACTTTAAAAAAAATCTTTACAGAAGTATATTGCCTCATCTTCCTCCTGTGGAGCAACTGGTAGGTTTCAACCGATGATCTGGTTAGCACCCAAATTCCTTACCCACTATTCCACCAGCACTCTAATGAGTACATTAAGATCAATGAATTATAAGAACAGGAATACCAGAAAGCTGAATAATCTTCCAAGTAGTGAACATTTCCTAATGAGTAGATGCTATTAGAAAGCACCATCCTAAGATAATTCTCAGGGGACAAAAATCTATTGCCATTGTCATAAATATCTTTGTTTCTGTGATCTCATCTAACAGTTTAATTGAAGAGAAAGAGTAGGGGGAGTGGAGGTCTCTATGCTAACTTTAGTATTGCTGTATTCTTGGCCTCCAGGTCACTGTAAAACTCCAAAACAATTTCCATTTGCAAAGCCTACAACTCCAACTAATGAGTCTGAGTTTCCAGTTGGGACATATTTGGATTATGAATGCCTCCCTGGGTATTTTGGGAGCTTGTTCTCTATCATCTGCCAGGAAAGCTTGGTCTGGTCAAATGCTGAAGATGTCTGTAAAAGTAAGTAGCACTGCCCTGGGAGTTCTTCATATTTGTCTAAGTATCTGTGGGATCTGACTTAATTTGTTCAAATTATGGAGGCAAGACATCTAAATGTGAAGGTATTTCAATGGAGGGTGCTCTTGTAAGTCATCATTTCTTACTGCTTGGATTTCTGCACCATGACTTATTCATTTCATGAGAAAGACTCTCACAAAGGAATTGAAGGGAAAATCTCATTCACTGGAAAGCACCTTTGAAAGCAGAAACCATGAAATGCGTGAATCGGGGACAAAATGTTGACATGTTTGCCTGTTCTAGATATTTCATCTAAGTGGTGTGTTATTGCTGTTAGGTGCCGTTGAGTCAACTCCGATTCATGGCGACCCTATGTACAACAGAACAAAATACTGCCCAGTCTTGTGCCAGCCTCACAATCCTTGCTAGGCCTGAGCTCATTATTGCAGCCAGTGTGTCAATCAATATAATTAGAGACTTGCTCTTTATCGCTGACTCTTTACTTTACCAAGCATGATATCCTTCTCCAGGGAATGGTCCCTTCTGACAACATGACAAAATTAGGTCAGAAGAAGTCTGGCCATTCTTGGTTCCAAGGAGCATTCCAGCTGCAATTCTTCCAGCACAGATTTGTTAGTTCTTCTGGAAGTCCTTGGTACTTTCTGTATTCTTTGCCAACACCACAACTCAAAAGCATCAACTGTTCTTCAGTCTTCCTTATTCATTGCCCAGCTTTCACATGTATATGAGGCAACTGCAAATCTATGGCTTGGGTTAGGCGTACCTTGGTCTTCAAAGAGACATCTTTGCTCTTCATACTTTAAAGAGGTCTTTTGCAGCAGATTTGCCCAGTTCAATAAGACATCTGATTTCTTGACTGCTGCTTCCTTTGATTATGGATACAAGTAATATGAAATCTTCGACAACTTCTACCTTTTCTCCACTTATCATAATGCTGCTTATTTGTCCAGATGTGAGGATTTTTGTTTTATCTTGAAGTGTAATCCATACTGCAGACTATAGTTTTTAATCTTCATCAGTAAGTACTTCAAGTCATCTTCACTTTCAGCAAGGAAGGTCATGTCATCTGCATATTGCAGGTTGTTAATGAGTCTTGCTCCAATTCTGATACCACATTCTTCTTCATATAGTCCAGTTTCTTGGATTATTTGCTCAGATTGAATAGGTATGGTGAAACGATACAACCCTGACACACTCCCTTCCTGATTTTAACCCAAGCAATATCCCCTTGTTCTGTTCAAACGACAGCCTCCTGGTCTATGTACAGGTTCCTTATGAGCACAATTAAGTGTTCTGGAATTCCCATTCTTCTCAGGGTTATCCATAATTTGCTATGATCCACACAGTGAAATCCTTTTGCATACCCAATAAAACACAAGTAAACATCTTTCTTGTATTCTTTGCTTTCAGCCAAGATCCATCTGACATCAGCAATAATATCCCTTTTTCCAATGTTCTCTTCTGAATCCAGCTTGCATTTCTGGAAGTTCCCTATCAATATAGTGTTGCAACTGTTTTTGAATTATTCTCAGCAGAATTTTACTTTCATGTGATATTAATGATATTGTTTGATAATTTCCACATTCTGTTGCATCACCCTTCTTTGGAATGGATACAAATATGGATCTCTTCCAGTCAGTTGGCCAGTCATTTTTTTGGCATAGATGAGTAAGTGCCTCCAGCAGGGCATCCATTTGTTGAAACATCTGAATGAATATCCCATCAATTCCTGGACGTTTGTTTTTGCTGATTCCTTCAGTACAGCTTTAACATCCTCCTCCAATACCATTGGTTCTTGATCATATGCCACCTCCTAAAACCGAGGAACAGCAACCATTTCTTTTTGTACAGTGACTCTGTATTCCTTCCATCTTCTTTTGAAGTTTCCTGCATTGCTCAATATTTGCCCATAGAATCAATATTGCAACTCGAGGCTTGAATTTTTTTTTTTTTTTTTTTTTCAGTTCTTTCAGCTTGAGAAATGCTGAGTGTGTTCTTCACTTTTGGTTTTTCTAACTCCAGGTCTTTGCACATTTCATTTTAATAATTGACTTTGTCTTCTCAAACTGCTCATTAAAATCTCTTTAGCTCTTTTATCTTGTCATTTCTTCCATTTGTTTTAGTTACTCTCCATTCAAGAGCAAGTTTCACAGTCTCTTCTGACATCCATTTTGGTCTTTTCTTCCTTTCTTGTCTTTTTAATGACCTTTTGCTTTCTTCATGGATCATGTTTTTTATTTCATTCCACAATTTGTCTGGATTTTTGTCTTTGGTATTCAATGCATCAAATCTTTTCTTTAGGTGGTCTCTAAATTCAGGTGGGATGTAATCAAGGTCATATTTTGGCTCTCATGGACTTGTCTTAATTGTCATCAGCTTCATCATGAACTTGCATATGAGCAATTAATGGTCTGCCCTATAATCAGCTCCTGGCCTTGTTTTGATTGAAGATATTGAGCTTCCCCATCGCCTCTTGCCACAGATGTAGTCAATCTGATTCCTGTGTACTCCATCTAGCAAAGTCCACATGTATAGCTATCATTTATGTGGTTGAAAAAAAAGTATATTCAATGAATAAGTCGTTGGTCTTGCAATATTCTTTCTACAAACGCCAGTGTGATTTCTATCACCAAGGCCATATTTTCCAACGACTGGTGATTCTTCTTTGTTTCCAACTTTTGCATTCCAATCACTAGTGATAATCAACACATCTTGGTTGCATGTTTGGTCAATTTCAGCCTGCAAAATTTGGTAAAAATCTTCAATTTCTTTGTCTTTGGCTTTGGTGGTTGGTGTGTAAATATGAATAATAGTAGTATTAACTAGTCTTCCTTGTAGGCATATAGATATTATCCTATCACTGACAGCATTGTACTTCAAGATAGATCTTGAAACATTCTTTGTGACAATGAATGCCATACCATTCCTCTTCAATTTGTCATTCCTGGCATAGCAGATCGTATGGTTGTCTGATTCACAATGGCCAAAAGTGGTCCATTTCAGCTCACTAATGCCTAGGATATCAATCTTTATGCATTCCATTTCATTTTTGACAGCTTCCAGTTTTTTTTAAATTCATGCTTCATAGATTCCATGTTCTGATTATTAATGGGTGTTTGTAGCTGTTTTTTCCCATTTTGAGTCGAGTCACATTAGCAAATGGAGGTCCTGAAAGCTTTATTCCATCTACTTCATTAAGGTTGACTCTACTTTGAGAAGGCAGCTCTTCCCCAGTCATATTTTGAGTGCTTCCTACCTGAGGGGCTTATCTTCTGGCATTATATTGGACAATGTTTCAGGGCTATTCATAATATTTTCCAGTAATATATCAGACAGTATTTCACTGCCATTCATAAGGTTTCCACTGGCCAATTCTTTGAGACGTGAATGGTCCTTTCCTTCTTCCAAATCTGTCGTAGTCTGGAAGTTCCGCTGAAACCTGTCCACCATGAGGGACCCTGCTGGTATTTGAAATACCAGTGGCATAGTCTCCAGCTTCACAGCAACACACAAGCCACCACAGTGCAACAAACTGACAGACAAGTGGTTGTTGTTGTTATGTGCCGTGGAGTCGGACCCGACTCGTAGCGACCCCTCCTTGGGTTTCTGAGGCAGTATCACTACGGAAGTAGATTGCCTCTCTTCCGAGGAGTGACTGGTGGGTTTGAACCACCAGCCTTCTGGTTAGCAGTCAAGTGCCTTAGGCACTATGGTATCCAAAGTTTATAATGATTACCAGAGATGAGAGGGAGGGAGAAAGAGCAACTTATTGCTTAAGGAACATTGGACTTCTGTTAAGGGCGATGAAAAATTTGGAAATGGATAGTGGTGAAAGTTGTACAACATGATGAATATAATTAATATCACTTAATTGTACACGTAAAAATGTTAAAATAGTGGGGCAATGCCTAAGACATTTGACTGCTAACCAGAAGGCTGGCAGTTCAAACTCACCAGCTGCTCTGTGGAAGGAAGATGAGACAATCTACTTCCGTAAAGATTTACCACCTTGGAAACCCAGTGGGGGTGACTATGACTCAGAATTGACTCCATGGCAGGGTTTGTTTTTATTTTAATACATACATACATATATACATATACATATCCCTATATATGTATATGTGTACATACATGTGTGTACATGCACATATGTGTGTGTATATATATATATATGTGTGTGTGTGTGTGTGTGTTCTGGTTACCTAGTGCCCCTCTGACAAGAATATTCCATAAATGGGGTGGCTTGAACAAACAGGAGTTATTCTCTTACAGTTTGGAGGCTTTAAATCTGAGTTCAAAGTGCCAGGTTCTAGGTTGAAAGCCCCTCAGTCTTGGGCCTCAACTCTGCCTCCTGCTCCCAGTCCACTGAAGCTGGAGGCTTTTCTTCATTCAGACAGCTACTGGATGCTAAGACTGGCAAGCCCAAGGTTGACAAGTGAAAGGGCACAGTCCCAATGTTATCAAACCACATGGCAGGCCATTAATTCAAGTCCATTGGAAGTTCCAAGGTTGGCAGAGCATGATGGGTTGCTGCACAATGATATGGCTACATGCAGGGTTTGAGTGTGCCATAAGCTAGAGACTGTTCCCCAAGGCTTCTCCTTATATACAGGAAGACCACATCCCTAAAGCAGCTACTCAGCTGCTCACAGTAGATTCCACCATGGAGGTGATTACCAGTCTCATCATGGGTACTAATACTATATCCAGCTGCCCAGCCACTCAACCAGGCCCAGACAAGATGACACACAATATATATCTACATACACACATATGTTGTCATTAGGTACCATCGAGTCGATTCTGACTCATAGCAACCCTATATACTACACAGCACAAAACACTACCCCAGTCCTGAGCTAGCTTCACTATCATTACTATGCTTGAGCCCATCGTTGCAGCCACTGTGTCATCAGTGTTACTGAGGGGCTTCCCTTTTTGCTGACCCTCTACTTTACCAAGCATGATACCTTTCTCCAGGGACTGGTCCCTTCTGATAACATGAAAAAAGTACAGGAGGTTAAGTCTGGCCATTCTCACTTCTAAGGTACATTCCGACTGTACTTCTTTCAAAACAGATTTCTTGTGGCAGTCTATGTATTTTGAATATTCTTTGCCAGCACCATAATTCAAATGCATCAATTCTTCTTCAGTCTTTCTTATTATAATTATAATTATTGTAATTGTACTAATTATTATATTGTTATAATTATTAATTATAATTATTATTATAATTATTGTAATTATATATATATATGTATATATATCACAATTTTGAAACAGAAAGAAAATTATGTGAGTGTCTTAGTTACCTAGTGCTACTATAATAGAAACACTACAAGTGGTGGCTTTAATAAACAGAAATCTATTTTCTCACAGGTTAGGAGGCTAGAAATCCAAACTCAGGGTGCTGGCTCTAGGGGAGGTCTTCCTCTCTCTGTCTGCTTTGGGGAAAATCCTTGTCTCTTGGTTCCTTAGAGAGCTTCATGTGGTGTGGCATCTATTTCCCCTATCTCTGCTCGCTTCCCTATGCCTAATTTGCTTGGTTCATATATCAAAAGAGATTGATTTAAAACACACCATACACTACTACTGCCTTGTTAACATAACAAAGAAAATCCTCTCCTAAATGGGATTATAATTCAGGTATAAGGGTTAGGATTTACAGCACATATTTTGAGGTCATGCAATTCAGTCCATAACTATGAGTCACTGTGAAATGTACTTGGTTGACTAAAGATAAAGGGGACACCGAATTTTGAGGCTTTTCATTTTGAGGTTATTTCAATGACTCATATGCCTGTGAAAGCTGGACGATGAACAAGGAACGCTGCAGAAGAACTGATCAATTTGAATTGTGGTGTTGGCAAAGAATGTTGAATGTACCATGCACTGCTAAAAGAATGAACAACAAATCTGTCTTGGAAGTACAGCCAGAATGCTCCTTAGAAGCAAGAATGGCCAGACTTCATTTCCTGTCCTTTGGTCATGTTATTAGAAGGGACCAGCCCCTGAAGAAGGGTATTATGCATGGTAAAGTAGAGGGTCAGAGAAAAAGGGGAAGACCCTTAATAAGATGGATTGACATATATAGTGGCTGCAATGATAGGCTCAAGCATGGCAACGATTGTGAAGATGGTGAAGGACCAGGCAGTGTTTTCATTCTGTTGTATGTAGAGTTACCATGAGTTGAAATCAACTTGACAGCCAAAAAACCAAACTCACTGCCACCAAGTTGATTCGACTCACAGTGACCCCTCCTTGAGTTTCTGAGGCAGTATCTCTGTGGAAGTAGATTGCTCAACTTCCCTTCCAAGGAGTGGCTGGTGGGTTTGAACCACCAGCCTTCTGGTTAGCAGTCAAATGCCTTAGGCACTATGCCACCAGAGCTCCTGACTTAACAGCACAAAACCTAATAACAACAATAAGTAGTAAAGATAAAGGGGACACCCAATTTTGAGGCTTTTTATTTAGGCTGGTGGGATCAGAGGAGTCCCTGGGTAGTACAAATGGTTACCATACTTGGCTGCTAACTAAAAGACTGGACATTCAAGTCCACTCAGAGGTGCCTTGGAAGAAAGCCTGGGTGATCTACTCCTAAAAAATTAACCACTGAAAACCCTGTGGAACCATATTGTCACAGTAGAACCTCATATGTTCTACTGTGACACATATGAGGTTACCATAACTCAGAGTTGACTCGATGACAACTAGTACGGGTAGGATGAGAATACAACTCTTTTACCATAAATAACCTTTATTGGGAGATGCAAAGTGGTCTCTTTAAAAGTGACATTCTGGAACTGGTTGATTCTGAGGTTATATAGTTAGTTTTCTTGAACTGGCCAGTTCTGTGGAGCAATCAGAACTATATCCCCCTCTAAAAAAACAAATCAAACTCAGTGCCGTCGAGTCGGATCCCACTCATCACGTCCCCTGCTTGGCTTTCCGAGGCAGTATCTCTACAGAAGTAGATTGCCCAACCTTCCTTCAGGGGAGTAGCTGGTGGAAGTAGCTGGTGGGTTTGAACCACCAGCATTCTGGTTAGCAGTCAAATGCCTTAGGCACTACGCCACCAGAGCTCCCATGCTACACTCTAGTGTGAACCTTATAAACAAGGGCAAATTGAACTCTACACGAAGTCCCAAATTCTGCTTTTTTCCTCTAGGAAAATCATGTGGATATCCTCCAATACCCTCCAATGGAATGGTGCTTATAAACACAGATGACCAGTTTGGATCAACTGTTAATTATACTTGTAATAAAGGGTGAGTTGGGAGTACTACCTCTTGATATGAGTTCCAGGACAGTAACACCAGCCTCTGATCCAGTCTTAGAAAGGCAACATAGACTATTGCCCCATTCACTTTAAAAAGTAAGCAACAGGATAAAGATGGAGGCTTGAGCACAGGCATATGACCAGAGAAAATAAAGAGCAGAAACAACCTGTATCTGTATTGCACACTAGGGGAGGGTACTACGCTTCCGCTGAGTCTGGTACATATGAAGGCTGGTGAAGTAGTCCCCAGGAGAAAAAGGAGCAGCCTATCAAATAAGTAAAAGCAAAATTGCTATTTGACCAAAACAAAGATCCTTAACTGAGAGCATCAAGTCCTGTAGCTGACTTGGAGGACCCTGAGGCAAGGAGTTGGAAGGGCAAATCTTAAAGGTAAACAGCAATTCTGGGAAGCATAAGCATTAAATTGCTCACTGGGTGGGGGCATCCATGAGTTTCTTGTTTTTGACTTTCCTTCAGAATGGGTAACCATGCAAAAAGCCATTGACTCAACTTGGAACAGTTAAAGGATGTGTACTAAATTTCAATTACCACAATCAATTAAGGGGAAAAAATAGATATAGATTAAATCTCCCTGAAAAACTGCCCCTGGTCATTAGCCCCACCCAAGCTATTGATCAAGCCTATCTAAGGTGTTGATCCAAAGTGTTATTCTTATGATCCAGCAAGTTTAAAGTTCAAATATACTCAAATATATTTGAATCTATATTATTGATTCAAATCAATATTTACCCCTTCTCATTTTATCTGAGCCTGGGAGATTTTAACAGCTTTCCACACAATCTTTTGACAAATCATTTAGAGCCCAATCTGAGAAATCAAAGAAAATCCCTCTACAAAACAGTAAACCCCAATAAACAGGAGGAAAACCTTTAGAAATCTCTCATGTGTTGGTAACATAGAATCTATAAAACTATAGGAGATGTTTGTAAGATTGAATAATCTGAAATGGTAAATTTTATATATGAATGTAACACACATCAAATAAAAAGGAGTACTGATCAATAGATTAGATACTGCCCCCCCAAACAAACAACAACAACAACAACAAAAATTGAAGAAATTCTCCAGAATTCATCCAGGGTAGACAGTACTGAAAAATATACTCTCACATACACACACATACATATTAACACACAACAGAAATTCCAGAAAAATAAGAGAAAGCAGAAATTGATGTAGGATTAATTAGTATATAACAAAGGACATTTTGCAAGACTCAAAACCAAACTCACTGCCATCAAGTCAGATCCAACTCATAGTTATCCCTCCTTGGGTTTCTGAGGCAGTATCACTATAGAAGTAGATTGCCCAGCCTTCCTTCTGAGGAGTGGCTGGTGGATTTGAACCGCCAGCCTTCTGGTTAGTAGTCAAATGCCTTAGGCACTATGCCACCAGAGCTCCCTTTCCAAGACTAGGGGGGGAAAAAAGGACTAGATCATTCTAATCTTAAAGGATAACTAAACAAATATAAGATTAATGATAAGAGTCCCTACTCTTACAGTGAGGAAATTTATAAAATTTATATAAATGTAATACATGCATATATAATTATTGCAAATATCCAAAGATAAAAAAAGAAACAAAGAAGAAATTCATATTGACATCAAATTTCCTTTCCATACCACTACATAGAAAAAAATCAGTATTGTGAGAAGAAAACTTGTGCCATAAAATTTTTGTACTCAGTAGCCAAGGTACATTCATCTGCAAGGCACAGATGTTGTTGTTGTTGTTGTTTGCCGTCGAGTCGGCCCCGACTCATAGCGACCCCTCCTTGGGTTTCCAAGGCAGTATCACTACGGAAGTAGGATT